CATGAATTAAAACTAAATTTCCATTAAGTTATCTTATTTTTTCTAACAATTATTTTTTTAAATGCCTGCAGCCCCCCCCCTTTTTTTTTAACTTTTCCATTCACTCACTTAAGAACATATAAAGAAGGAATTAGTTATAATAACATTCAAACAGCGAGCAAACACGACAGAATAAGGCGAAATTAACCTAGATTTTAAATGTCTATCAGATAGCTTCTAAGGGGTTCTTGCCAACACAATTAACTTTTAGTTTTGAGTCACTGCTGTTATGACTAAAGAATTCAAACACTTGCCACAATTAGCTATTAAACTCTAATAACAATTTTAACTACTATATCTGCTTTAACTCGAATTTAAAACTTCTGTTGACCCAAATGTTGTCACAATAACAGTATTCTACAGATTTGTAAAGGGTTGCTGCGTAAGCCCATTTTTAAATTTAAGTCAGAATACAGCTGAATAGTACATAGATGCTATTGATTTTCGATAGGACTCATTCGGCTTAGTCTGTTTTGAAATATTAATTTTCTTTAGTAGCAGATAAGTGTAAAACCAAGTAGGTGATTTCTTTCCTCCAGGTTTTACGTAAGTTCTCAATGTTGTCACTCTTAATAATGCAAACAAAGCTGTTCAACTATTGCATTTTCCAGTGCGTGCTCTGTTGGTGTAAGTGGTTGCACACCCAGCTAGCTAATGGAAGACTCTTAGCTCGAATCCCAAAGTGGGTACAATTGATTTCTACTATTCCCTGCTACGGAAAAAAAATATATTATCTACAATGGCGCCCGAACTAAAATGTGATGGATGACAATTTAGTCACTACCCGGCTTTTACCGACTATGTTTCGTGTTTCTCCACAGTTTCACATTAAATTGGGGAAAATGTAAAGAACTGCTGCCTTCCCCAGTGAGTATTTTCGTGGGGTAAGTGCTGCTACGTAGAATTAGGAGCGAAAAGATACGTTGTTCACATCTTATTGATTGGTTTGGTTTATGTAATTATAGCAAAGCCTCTAGGGCTATCTGCCTAAGGGAAGGAATGCCTTCGTGGAGGGCTTTTATAGGGAAACTGACTCGTATACACTTCATGCACGTTACACATGAAGAAAACCACGAAAGCGCCCATGCAGCCAGCCCTTTTGCAGGATTCGAACCTCAGACCGAACTACCAGTGTTCAGCGATTTTACCGCTCGGCCGCTGATAGGCCGAATCTCGTTGAGGCTGTAATTGATATTTTATGTTCCTCTGCTTCGAAAAATAATTTATTTCTCTCTACAAAAGTTATTAGGTTGTATTCTTTACTATTTATTTATTGTTTACCTGCTTCGTTTTGGGATCCAATCTGAGATAAAGGGTTCTAATTTATTTACTTTTAAATACAGAACTTGAGCTAGCTTTTGAAAGCTATGACTCGCCAAAAAAAAAAACGTAAATTTAGACGCAATTACAGAAATCAACCAGACGAGAAAATCTGCTCCATGGATTTACGCATTTTCATTGATGAAATTTCAATGTGAATCCTTTGCGACATAGGTAAATTCAAAGCGCTTTTATTTTATATAATTTTGCTGCAGAATAGGCAATTTACATTAGGAAAAAAGCATTATAACGAAATTATATGCATTAACTTTCAAAACTGAGATAAATTTAAGGAAAATGGACGGAGATTTTTTTTTAAGGAAATGGCTCCTATATCTTAAGTAGTGATTATCTTCCGTAGTTTTACAGTTTTAAGCCATTATTCAAAACTGCTGAATAAATTACTCTATAATCTCAAATAAAACTTAGTAAAGCTAGGAATCATTATGTAGATAATTCATGGATTAATTATTATCCGTAATTTTGGCTAGTCTAACTTAAACATTACGATACTTATTGCTAACTGGCCAGCTTTCAAGTTTTTCGAGCAAGTTTTAACTATTACGGATCATAATTTAATTTATCAACGAATACACAAGTAATTATATCAGTAACTAAGATATTTTTGACAATTAAAAGTCTGTTTCATGGCATATGTAAAGAAATAATGAATTACTCTTATTCATAGTGTTTAACAGTCACACAATAACTCAGTCACAACGATAATAATTTAATCAACGAACACAAAAATAATTATATCAATAATTAAGATATTTGATTAAGATATTTATTGATAAAGTCTGTAGTCTGTTTTATGGAATATGTAAGAAATTTACGAATTTCTCTTATTTATAATGTTTACCAGTCACGCAATAATTTAGTCACAATGATCATAACTTAATTAACGAAAACACAAATAATTATATCAGCAATTAATGAATTTTTGATAATTAAAAGTCTGTTTCAGAGAATATGGAAGGAATTTACGAATTTCTCTTATTTATAGGATTAAATAGTCACTCAGTCACAACGATCAAATTAGTCTTGCTGGGTTGTTAGTTTTTATGTTACTAGCGATGATCTTCTTGTGGGCTTATCAAAAGCAGCCAACTGTTAGATTTTAGTCAGTTAGAATTTTTGAACAGGTTAGTAAATTATTTTGATGAGGTACCATACATAATGTAGTCACAGAAGCAGTTTGCCTATTGTCTTTATATGCGAGTCTTATAGCGCAAAACCAGCAACGACCAGAGCTATGAAATTGCGGCACAAACTCTCTCTAAGGAGAATCTAGATATACAGAGTGTTTCAGCACAGTTGACAGGTGAGAGCAAGGTCCGGACACCAGGGTGGCTTTCACTGATTATTCGGGTATCGTCCGGATCCCGCTACTGACCAGAAAAATAACATTACCAAACAGGGGCTGATGTTAGAAAACAGACGTATTTCGCATCCTTAAATAACGATGCTTATTATACAATATATGACAATATAAAGATACCTTATATCAAAAAGTGTTACTCCTAGTAACTATACCTTTTACATTCTCAAGCACGTTGGACATTTACTAAAACACAGCATTAAACATTGAACTGCGAGAAAGTAGTGCTATGTTGAATTTAGACAGCAATAACCCATTGGCGTACATTATGCAATAATAGTGCATTCGATATATTAATACAAACAATGCATTAATAAAAGTTCCTAAACTCTACAGGCATACTGACAGACATGTTTCAACACAGCGATTACAGACTTTCAGGAGAGATAGAGTACCTCTTGATGATGGAAAATCACATAGTAATGCATGGACGGAAACGCTTTCCTGGTGCAATGGTGACGACATAAAATACAAGAAACAGAGGATGCGAAAAGGGTGAGAAAAAATGTTTGTTACTCTTCTAATCTGCAAAATATGTTTTTTTTTTTTTTTTTTTTTTTTTTTTTTTTTGCGGAAAACAATAACTGTGTTGTGTTTTACGTTAATCAAATCGAATCGTTTGAATAAAATATATAGGAAATGTTAGACGTTCTCATTAATTATACTGATTTATATTAATTTTCTAAAATTATGGAAAGAAGACAATTTTAAGTTAAAACTTTGTAACGTCTCTTAAAGTCAATTTAAAACAGAGCTTTTAAACAAATTATTACCCTAAAGATTCAATTTGACCAGAAGGGCTATTAATTTCGTTTCCGTACTTTGCGTCGATTCACTGTAAATGTCGGTTCACTTTTCAAATTGTTGCCACCAAATATTAGAGACCTGCATTATGTTTAAAGAAATTAAATAACGCAGAATCTGCGCGAATGTATGTATGTTTCTTGCACTTTGAAAAAAAAAACGGCGGTATTTAGAGACAACAAATTTTGAATAATGTAGTCTTCCATTCGAATATGGGCATCTGGAAGCTCTAATTTGGAATTTGGAATTTGTTTTATTATCTATTTCATATTTTTTCTAAAATTAAAGAATCATTTATTTACAAATTGAATGATTTCAAAGCGAGCAATGGCAACACTCTAAAGGGGAAAAAACCTTTTTATCTCCAGCACGCCAGACTGTGTATCAGAAATTCTAAAGATATATTAAATATTTTGTAATATTGCTGTTGAATTGAATTTTATGGTTTAAGTGAGAAGAATATGATATTTAATAAATAAAGGTAACACACAAAACATTAAACTCCCTTTTGAGAGTAATATAAAATCTGAAAGCTTTCAGATATTTTTAAAAATTTTATTTTAAATTTTAAAGGCCGTAATTATCGAACTATCTGAATCATCTAAATCTTCGGTTCCTGAAATTAATCTTTAATGATCGTTTACCTTTAAAGAGCTGCAAATCAGAAAATCGGCTAAATTTTTCAAAAACTTTAGATTCTTTTGGAACAAAGCAATTAAAAAGTTACCGTCTTGCTAAGCTGCAGACGTAGAGTATTTCACAATCATGTTATCAGATAGTTGTATGCTGTTTATGTAATGCTATTATCAAAAACTTAAAAAGTGTTAAGTGCGTCTTAAAAAGTTCCGAAAGACCTTGTGTTTAATTATTTTACAACCAAAAAAATATGAAACACTTTTAAAATATATAAAACACAAAGCATATGATGTCCATGAAACAGAAAAGAGTTTGAAAATGGCTCTCGTAAAAACGTATAGTGGCGTAAAACGTAAAATCCTTAAGATTTCTTTCATACCAGAAAGAATTTCTCAAGCGCAGATGTAACTAAGCTCATTGTTCCATATACAAGGCCACCTGCAAGATTAACACTCTGAATAAATGAGCTATGTAGCGAAGAAAGAACAGGTAGTAAAAAAGCGTTAGTAAATATTTGTGATGCCAATTGCTCGTATTTCACAGTGTAAGATTTTAAATCACCGGGTGATGAATTAATTAACCGTAGTTTCTGAATTTCCTGCCTCGCGTGGAAATATTACAGGATATTAAGAAAAATCTGTTTCACATCACACTTTATAAGCACATAATACTTGCGTACATTATACGAATTACGAATATAAATTTTTTCAACCATGCTGCAATCCCAAACTTGGCACGTAAACATTGTAATCTAAACAAACTATGAATGAGTAAATAATAATAACATCAGGGGGGAAACAAACAATATGTAAGAAGTCACCTTCAAATTCGTATAATAATGTTCAGAACACGCAGCAGATTTTGATGTCCACCAGACGGTTGAAGACTGGCACACGCGAGATTGTGAAATCGCCAAACATGCTCTGGCCTTTTTACTTTTCTTATTAACTGCAGGTGACAGTGTGCGGTTTGGCGTCCGAATTTGAATAAGATTTCTAGTGTTTATTTTTTAAGGCCTTGGGCATTTTTTCGCGTGAATGGGTGACTGTTTGTCTTAAGCCATACTTCCGTCCCACATAAAGACTTCGATTGTCCATAATGCGGATCTTCTTCCTGCTGACATACTTACCTGATGACTGACTGTTTCAACAACAGGTGGTGGGGATATCTGAAGCAAATATTTTAAAACTTTTTCATGCCTCAAGCTTTAACCTGCAGGTCTTTGCTGGAGGTTAAAGTTTGGAGTATTTTACTTCGTATGCCCACGCGTATCGTTCATATGGATTAGGTTAGTTGATTAAAGTAAAGCAACTCGAAGGCTTATGTGCCTACAGGAAGGGATTCCTTTCGTGAAGGACTTTTAAGAGAAACTGGCTCGTATCCGCTTTATACATGAGGGAAACCAGAAAAAAAAAAAACCTCTCATGCAGCTGGCCTTTTCGCTGGAATCCGAGCCCGGGTCAAACTATCAGTGTTCAGCGACTTTTACTGCTCGTCCGTCGATGGGCTTTGTTGGAGTAAAGTACGTAACTTGTCTTAAAACTTGAAACAGCAAGTATTTCCATTCCAAATTCATCATTTTCTAGATGAATAGGCTTACAAATAATAGTACTTAAACTCGAGTTCGACTTTAGGCTAAACTGGTTGGTTAAATGATAGCTTCCAAATTCGTAACTTTTTATTTTATTTTTTTGTTATCGAACAGTGGGTTCTTGCCTTATCATCAATGGCCACTTCTAAGGCCGGAAGTGGTGGCCGTTTTATTGCGGAGACATCTAATAGGGGCCACCGTTACTTCCTATGAGGGGACAGAAAATTTACATCTATGCCTTCTCCGGGACTCGAACCCGGGCCCTTCGGTATCACACTCGGCTTTCGGAATATATATGTATGTAAGTGTGTATATATCTGTATCTGAGTTGGTATTTATATGTATATACATATATTTTGATTGTACTCTTCTTCAAGTGCCTTGTATGCACATGTATATTTCCTTTTTGCCTTTAATAAATGTCGTCTGCCCAGGGCTGCGGCCTGGCAGCTAGTGGTTGACTCCCGCCGAGTTGGTAACCAATTCTGCATGGATATATACCTGGGTCGGAAGCCAATTCAGCGGTTTACTCCCCTAACCACTATACTGTCTGTGCGGCCAAATTCGTAACATAAATTGGAGGTAATTTCTTTTCCTTTCAGATTTTCCACTACTGGGTCCCCCAGCGACCGAACGGTAAGATCGCTAAACACTGGCAAATCGACAAGAGCTTAAATATACGCAAAGTGTTGGCTACATTGAAATTTTCACCGTCCCCATGTGCAAGATGACTACGTGTCGTTCCATCAAAAAGTCATTCCCGAATGCATCCTTTTCCTTATTTAGCCATACTATACTTTCCCATAATCAAATAGTGAACTGCAGAAGTGTTTATGTATTCTGAAGCGCTATGGCTTACATGCTAGTTACGTTCGACACCATTCAGGTATGATAATTTAAGTGGCCTTTACATGCTTCAAACTCAGAAGTTTCTTCTAGTCATCATATTACGTTCCTAGACTTGTATGGTTCTGGGCTTTACTATAGAAGAGGAGTTCGCAACCAAGGGATGATTTTTTCCTGGAACCTCATATTTTCAAGGGAAGAATGGGGTCAGCCTTTTATTTAACTCTAAGTATTTAATTTTAGTTTATGAATACAAAAAATTACTTTTATTCAAGTTTTGATATGTATCAACAGTTTCTATATTTTTTCTTGTTTAATTTATAAACCACAAAATAATCTAAATAAATATATATTTACTTTTCGAGTTTGGAGATGAAGGGTATATTATCGTCTGGCAATGATGAAATGGGGTGCATGTGCAACAAGGTTCAGAACCACTGTTACAGAATATCGCAGCTCTCTGAAGAAGTTCTCCTTATAGGCAGATAACTGTATATTAACTCCATTTTAATCAAATAAACTAAACTAATTTAAGTTCTGATTCCCAAGCCAAGTACTCTTCAGCTGCTTTGAAACAATAAATAACAACATAAATAGTAGTGGGCAAAAACTTGAGCAAATTCTCTGATTTTGGCCTAAGTTCCAAAAAATTCAATTGGGAAACCTGAAATTCATGCTACAAAGGCATAATGTAGTAGTTAAAGGATGAGGAAAGTGTAGTAAGAAAAAAAAATGAAGAGGACACATACGGTATGGAACGAATAGAAAAAGGCTTTTTTGGCAGAATCTCGCTGGTGCAATAAACTCTCTGGCCAAAACAACAAATTAAAGTTGATTAGTAAGGGATTTGACATTCCCTAACTGCTATGATTGCGTTACACAATCTGTCGATACTCAGTAACACATTATTCTAACAGTTCTTGGAGCTCCCATTCTTCAAGAAGCATCTATTTCAGTTATCTTGTATTCTTTTGCGAGGTGGATAGGAGTCTCTCTCAAGTATTCAATATATGTTCAATGAGATTTAAATCTTGGAAGCACATTAGCCGGTCCACTCTGTGCATGTCTTCACATTCCAGCATCTCCTCAACAGCAGGAGTCCTGGGTCGCGGTCATCCATAAAAACGAAGCCGGGACCAACGGAACTATGGAAGAGGTGCACGTGGGGGAGGATACGATCGTAACAGTAACGATCTCCTATAAGTGAAATTCGCTCGAGAATGTAGGGCTTCGTCCATCGGTTCATCATAATGCCTCTTATAAGCACGCCAGGACCAACACTACTCTTTCTCCCTGATGTCCTCTCTTTCACTGATATTATTGGCATGAAAGCGGTCCTTCCCCTCTCTTCATATCAACTAGCTCTGACAATAGTTTGTCATACTGAAACAACTCTCAGTAGTAAAATGAACGTAATGAACTCTTTCTCCCTGATGTCCTCTCTTTCACTGATATTATTGGCATGAAAGCGGTCCTTCCCCTCTCTTCATATCAACTAGCTCTGACAATAGTTTGTCATACTGAAACAACTCTCAGTAGTAAAATGAACGTGATTCCATTGATGAAGTGTCTGGTCTTTGTGTTCTCTGTGCCACCAGTGAGCTGCTGTGAATGCTATGTGGCGCTCAGCTCGGACGAATAGGCCACCTTTACGAAGTCGTCCGGCTACAAGAAACCGGATATCTGCCATCCAGTTGCTGTGTGCGAATGCTGAGCAATGTTGGCCGCTGCCGGGTTTCGATCTCTTTCCGCCTACAGGACACGATATAGCGATAATCAGTCATCATTGTATTCGTTGTATACTTTGGCTTGACCCCCCATCTACGTTACTTATAGCTTTACCTGTCGTTTGCGAGACTTCCCAAGCTCGTGAAACAAAAATTTTATCAATTCTAAACTCCTGAGCAAGAGACTTCAAACCACGCCGCTCTTCAAGCTTGCCAATAATGCTACCACATGTAAAGGCGTCCTGATATTCTCTTGTAGCCATACAGCAAGAACAGTGTCACTTTTGCCTTGCAGAAGAATGCCTAGTAATACTCCTTCCTTTCTTCTTTTTAAGTTGTCTTGCACTGCATTTCCTTGCATTTTCTGAGTCCCGACACACCTTGTGACTTCATACTTCTGATATTTCCATATGCGTCACCTTTTTACTCAGCTGGATTTTCATTGTAGTGATCGCAAAAAGCCCGTATCAACGATTCTCATGATTCTATGTTAGAAAATGAATTTGTTGCTTAAGTTCTGAACGCTAGTGTAATATTGTGTAACTTGTTTTCGCTTTCAAAAGAAAAGCTTAAAGGACTGTTACTTTACTCTACATTTTACCACTGAAATAAATGTCAAAAAGGCTTATCCTTAGCAAACTACTGACGATACTCGCTAATTTTTGAAGCAGATTCTTATCCTGATTGTTTGTTTCTTTACTTGAGTGTTGCAAAGTATAGGACGATTATGTATCTCTGAGAAAGCATACCTTTGTGGAGGACGTTCTAAGAGATAGGTTTTCATATTATATTGTAGCAAAACACACCAGGGCTATTTGCCAACTGCAGGGATGCTGCATAGAGATAGTTCAAAGCCGATTCATATTCATATAACACACAGGAAAATTTTCAAAAATATCCCTACAGCCATTCCATTAGCCAGCCCATCCAATAGTCCATTATCCTGATGAAGAAAACCATCAAGTAAATATGTTTCAAAAGGTTTATTTTTAATGAGGTAGCATCAATATAAACTGCCATCCTGGTCGGTATATTGGCTCCTGCCCTTGGTTGCTGGATAGATGGACTCGGGTTCGAATCTCGTAAAAGGCATGTATATTTAGAAGTGTACAGTATCTGTGCGGAAAAGGGCACTCGAAATACACGTTGAGCCGAAAGTCCTCCCGAGTAGTTGCTTTATAGGTGCTTTATGTTAGTTTATAGGTAACAAAACAGTCTTGGGGTGCGTAGAATTTTCATGATTGTTTCCCACTTATTTAATGTTAATATTTAGTTTATTTGATTATGGCAAAGCACATTAAGGGTATTTGCCTATGGAAAGGATTGCCTTGTTGAAGAAATCCATCCGAATTAACGCTCCATTTTAGGAAAACAACGAAAACGAATGCCCTACGAAGAAGAAATTTTTCTCAGTAGCAAGAGAGTTTTTAACATAATTGGAATAATCGAATCAAAAAACACATTATATGATTCTGAAGATAAGTTGCATTCTGAGCTGGCATTAAAACAAAAAATCTTTAAATTGAGTGTAACCAGAAAATATCTAGACTATTAGTTGTAGAACTGAAACTTAGTAGTTCATGATATGAGAACGTTGAAATGGAGCGTTGAAAGTCTCACGCACTTTCAACGGGAAAAAATCAAATTAAAAAAAAAAAAAAAATTCAAGCAATTAACCTGTTAGTTGTTCAGTAGCTGAACATAGAAATTATCGCAGTTGCCTTTTTGATGGAAACTGTAACAGTCACAG